CAAAAATTCACCTGAGGACCCCCCCAAACCACCCTGGGTCTCCCAAAATCCACTGGGAATCCCAAACCCCACTTGGGACCTCCCAAAATTCACGGGGTACCCCAAAAAATCCACCAGAAGCCCTCCCCTCCCAAATCCCCGTGGGGCTCCCAAAATCCCCCGGGATCCCCCAAAATTCACCTTTGGGATGGGTGGAGCTTCTGCTTCCTCCTGGGCAGGGCTTGGGGGACTCTCCACATCTGGATTTGGGGCCACCTCCTCCACATCTGGAACTTGGGGCTCGTCCAGGGCCCTTTCGGGGCTTTCCGGGCGTTCCACATCTGGGTCAGGTGGCAGGAACAGCTGGGTGGCCACATTTGGAGCCAGGCCGGGGCTCCCCGGCCCCTCCACATCTGGATTTGGGGTGTCCGCCTCTGCATCTGGAATTTCAGGGACTTTCGGGGCTGTTTGGGGTTTTTTTGAGGCTGCCTCATCTGGATTTGGGCCTGCCTCCTGCACATCTGGATCAGCATCCCCCAGCAACGTCCTGTGGCCCCTCAGTGACCCCTCCACATCTGGAATTGGGCTCTCTGTGCCCACATCTGGAATTTTGGGCAGGTTTAGGGGACTTTTGGGTGGTTTTGGGGACCCAACACCTGGATCTGAGGGTCCTTCCCCCTCCACATCTGGATCAGGGGGCAGGAATAGCTGGGTGGCCACATCCAAGTCCTCCTCCCCCTCCACATCTGGATCTAGGGTCGCTGCCGTCACAACGGGAATTTTGGGGTCATTTGAAGCCATTTTGGCTTGTTTTGGACCCAGAACATCTGGATTTAGGCCGTCCACACCTGGGTGTGGGGGCAGGAACAGCTGCGTGGCCACATCTGGATCCAGGGAGGGCAGCCCCTCTACAGCTGGAATTTTGGGGTCCTTTGGGGTAGTTTTGGGGCCTTCTGGGCTCCCAACATCTGGGGAAGGCAGGAACAGCTGGGTGGCCACATCTGGATCTGACTCCTGTTCTTCCTTCTCATCTGGATTTGGGGTGTCTTCTTCCACATCTGGAATTCTGGGAGGGTTCTGGGTCATTTTGAGTCGTTTTGGGCTCCCAGCATCTGGAGAGGGCAGGAACAGCTGGGTGGCCACATCTGGATCTGACTCCTCTTTCTCCTCCACATCTGGAATTCTGGGGTCCTTTGGGGCCATTTTGGAGCTTTCTGGGCTCCCAACATCTGGAGAAGGCAGGAATAGCTGGGTGGCCAGGTTTGGATCTGACTCCCCTTCCTCCTCCACATCTGGAATTTCTGGTGGTTTCTGGGTCATTTTGAGTCGTTCCGGGCTCCCAACATCTGGATCCGCCTCGACCTCCCCCACATCTGGATTTGGGGGCAGGAACAGCTGGGTGGCCATATCTGGATCCCACTCTTCCTCCTCTCCCGCCACATCTGGCGTTTTGGCCACATTTTTGGTCCTTTGGAACCTCCCAACGTCTGAAGTTTTGGGCACATTTTGGGTAATTTTCTGTCTTTTTGAGGGCTGAACATCTGGATCAGCCTCATCCTCCTCCACATCTGTGTCACTCTCCACCACCAAGGCTCCACATCTGGATTCAGAGCCTCCAACAGCTGGATTTGGGGTCAGCGTGGGCACATCTGGAGTTTTGAGCACATTTTGGGTAATTTTCTGTATTTTTGAGGGCCGAACATCTGGATCAGCCTCATCCTCCTCCACATCTGGGTCGCTGTCCACCAGCAGCACACTACACCCAATTTTTGTGCCTGAAACATCTGGATTTGGTGTTTTCAGCCTCATATCTGGAGTTTCAGGCACATTTGGGGCTCGTTTCACTCTTTTTAGGGATCCAACATCTGGAATTGCCGCCTCCTCCTCCACATCTGTGTCGCTGTCGTCCTGCAGTGCCCAGTGACCCCTCTGTGACCCCTTCACACCTGGATTTGGGGGCTGTGTGGGCACATCTGGAGTCTGGGGCACGTTTTGAGGACTTTCCCATCTTTTTGCAGGGGAAACATCTGGATCACTGCCCACCAGCAGTACCTGACACCCATTCTTGGCCAGTCCAACATCTGGATTTGGGGTCTGTGCCACCACATCTGGACTTGCAGGCACATTTTGGGTCATTTCAAGCTTTTTTAGGGTCTCAACATCTGGATGCACCTCCTCCTGCTCCACATCTGTGTCACTGTCCACCAGGAATGTCTGGCACCTGATTTCAGGGCCTGCAACATCTGGATTTGGGGGCTTTGCAGCCACATCTGGAGTCTCAGGGACGTTTTGGGTCGCTCTGAGCCGTTTCAGGGGCTGCACATCTGGATCCTCCTCCACATCTGTGTCACTGTCCACCAACAGCATCTGACACCTGACTGTGGGGACTGAAACATCTGGATTTTGTGTCCCCCATCGCATATCTGGAGTTTTGGGCACATTCTGGGTCCTTCTGAGCCTTTTTGGGGGCTGCACATCCAGATCCTCCTCCACATCTGTGTCACTGTCCTCCACCAGCGTCTGATGCCCAATTTTGGGCCTTTCCACAGCTGGATTTGGGGTCGCCACCTCGACATGTGGAATTCTGGGCATGTTTTGGGTCACTTTGAGCCTTTTTGGGGGCTGCACGTCTGGATTCACTTCGTCTTCCACATCTGTATCACTGTCCACCAGCAGCATCCAGGAATGGAGTTTTGTGCCTGAAACATCTGGATTTGGGGCCATTGCTGGCACATCTGGCATTTCGGGCACATTATGGGTCATCCTGAGTTGTTTTGGGGGTTGCACATCTGGATTCTCCTCCTCCCCCTCCACATCTGTGTCGCTGTCCATCAGCATTGCCCAGTGTCCAGTTTTGGGCGTGCCCACAGCTGGACTTGGGGTTTCCACCTCCACATCTGGAATTCCAGGCATGCTTTTAATCACTTTGAGCCTTTTTGGGGGCGGCACGTCTGGATCCTCTTCCACATCTGTGTCACTGTCCACCACCTGCATTCCACAAGGCAGTTTTGGGGCTGAAACATCTGGATTTGGGGCCTTTCCTGCAACATCTGGAGTTTCGGGCACATTTTGGGTAATTTTCAGTCGTTTTGGGGGCTCCACTTCTGGATCAGCCTCCTCCTCCACATCTGTGTTGCTCTCCACCAGCAGTGTGCCATGCCCATTTTTAAGCCGTAGAACATCTGGATTTGGGGCTTTCAGCCCCACATCTGGAGTTTCGGGCACACTTTGGGTCATTTCAAGCCGTTTTTGGGGCTCAGCATCTGGATTTGGCCCCTCCTCCTCCACATCTGTGTCGCTGTCCACCTGCAGTGTCCGGTGCCCATTTTTGACCCACAGCACATCTGGATTTGTGGTCTCTGCTGCCATATCTGGAGCCTCTGAAGTGTTTTGGGCCACTTTGGGCATTTTCAGGTCCCCAACATTTTGATCTGGCCGCTCCCCAATCACATCTGGGGCATTTCGGGGGCAGGGAAGGCGTTTTTGGGGGCCCTCAACATCTGGGGGCACAGCTGGATCCTCCAGGGCACTGCAAAGGGGGGTTGGGGGAGCTCAGGATCTTCCAAGGATCCCACAAATAACCCAAAGAGCCCCAAAACCTCTTTGGGAACTCCACAAACTGCCCCCAAACCCTCCGAATTGCCCCAAGGACACCCAACCCCCACCTGGGAACCCCAAAAACAGCCCCAAACTGTTCCAGAGACACACCCCACCCCCCCAGAACTCCCATTCCGCCAAAAAATCCCCCCAAACTGCCTCAGGACCATCCCAAACACCCCCAAATTCTCCAAGGAACCCCCCCAAAAAGCACCCAGAGACCCTCAAGCTGCCCCCAAAGGACCCAAACCACCCCAGAGGCCCCAGACCCCCTGCCTGGGACCTCCCAAACTGCCCCAAAAAGACTCAAAGCAAACCCAGGGACTCCCGAAATGTCCCAGGGACCCCACCCAAAACTCCCCAAGCTGCACCCAAATGACCCAATATCCCACAAGGATCCCCCAAAACTGCAGCCCCAAAGCCCTGAAATCCCCCCAGGGACCTCCAAGCCTTCCTCAAGAAGCCCAAATTCCCTCACAGAACCCCCAGCATCCCTCAGGGAGCCCAAATTCCCTCATGGAATCCCCAACTCCCCTCATGGAACCCCAAATTCTCTCACAGAACCACCAACCCCTGTCACAGACCCCAAATTTTCCTCAGGATACCCAAACGTCTCTCAGGAACCCCAAATTCCCACACAGAAACCCAAACTCCCATCAGGGGGGCCCCAAACTCCTCTCAGGACCCTTCAACACCCTCAGAAAGCCCAAACTTCCATCACGGAAGCCCCAATTCCCCTCATGGACCCCAAACCTCCCTCAGACACACCCAACCTCCCTCAGGGACCCCCAAATTCCCTCACCAAGTCCCAACTCCCCTCAGGAACATCCAAATTTCTCTGCGGAACGCCAAATTGCAAAACCAAGCCCCCAAACTTCCCTCAGAGACCCCAAACTTTCCTCAGGAACCTCCAACCCCCGTCACAGACCTCCCACAATCTCCCTCAGGGAGTCCCCAAAACTGACCCCGAGGCCCCAGTCCTCACCAAGCACCGCTCCAACCCCCGCTGTCACCTCCAAATCCCTCCAGGAGATTCCAGAACCCCCTCGGACCTCAAATCCCCCAAAATTCCCTCAGGGACCCCAAAAGCGGCCCCGGCTTCCCCCCCGCTCACCCCTCCCGCGCCATCACCGCCGGGCCGTGCCCCTCGCGCTCCCATTGGCCGCTCTCTCCGCGCGCCAACGCCCATCTGCACTTCCCATTGGCTGTGGTGCCTGTCGATCATCGCCAGACCACAGAGACGGGGCGGTATGGTCCTCCGAGAGCACCGGAGCGTCGGTGGGAGGGGCTAAAGAGAGGTTTAAACCAATTGAAGTGCAGAAATCTGTATTGACAACAAGGTTAACCAATAGAAGCATGGAAAGCGGGCGGTGCCGACCAATGGGAGCCCCGGCTTTGTCCTATATGAGCGCGCGCGGGGTCGCGGCTGCCGCCATTTTCACTGCCGTCGCGCTCGCGCCGTATCTCCGCTTTTAAAGGGGCCGCGCCGCCTCTTTACGTTTTTTTATTCGGTTTTCCAAGCGCCTCCGCGCCGTCCGGGTGGGTCCGAGCCCCCCCGCCAGACTCTGCCGCCGCCATGAGGGAGATCGTCCACATCCAGGCGGGCCAATGCGGCAACCAGATCGGCGCCAAGGTGAGCGCAGTGGGCCCCGCCTCCATGCCCCGCCGCGGCGGCGTTGCCTCTTTAAGAGCCCCCCCATCCCCCGTGCTCCAAGACAAAGGGTGACCCAAACCAGGGCGATTTTACCCCAAAATCGGCTTTTTCCCCCCACAAAAGCGTCCGTGAGGGAAGGGGGCGGTGCTGAATGGGGTGGGCTTGGGGTGGAAATGGGGAGAATATGTCGCTGAATGAGCATTTTCGGTGGCCGAACGCGCACCCCCCCCACACGCGGCCGCAAAATGGCGGCTGAGGGCGGCGGCCCCGAACCGCGGCGAATTCGCCTCCAAAATCGCCTTTCTTGTGGTGTTTAAAGAAAAATACTGCTATTTTATCTAATTTGAGTGACTGTTTCAAGGATTTGGCCGCGAATGGTGCTTTTTGCCCGTAATCGAGGGGGTCTGGCTGAGGATGGGCGGGGAAGGCGCCAAAATGGCGGCGAGGAGCCCCGAAATTAAAGGATTTAACCCCAGAATTAAGTTCTTCACAACAATATATTTATAATTAAATTTAAAACCTGATTTGCTTCGTTTTTAAAACACCATATTTTAAATGCTGCTTTTTCAGATTAAGGTCGGCTGTTTTCACCCCATAACTGGGTATTTTCGCCCCTAAAATCGGCTATTTTCACGCAAAACCGTCCAATTTTACCTCAAAAATGTGGATTTTGTGCACCAAAATAGATTTTTGACCCCCAAACGGGGCGTGACGCTCGGAGGGGTCAGACCCAAAAATGAGAGGATTTAACACATTAAAAAATCCGCTTAATGTCCACAATAAAGATTTTCATTCTCTAAATAAGAGGCGTGTTCCCATTTTTGTTCCAAAATTTGGATTTTTTTAATTCCGTAAAATAAAGATTTTTAAGCTTCCTTTAAACTGCAGGATTTTATGACCCAAACTGCTTCTTATTCCTTAAATGTGCATTTGGGGTCTTTAAATTGCAATATTCATCTCCAAAATCGCTGGTTTTCTTACTTTGAATCAGCTTTATTTCTATGAAATGCTCATTTTACCCGTAAAAATGGATTATTTTATTTTCAAAAAATTAAAATTTAGTTTTCAAAATGTTCATATTTTGTATTTAAGTGATTTTTTTTTCATTAATGTAGGGTTTTTTGCTGCCAAAGTGCAGCTTTTTGGCCCGAAAACCTGTTTTTTTTTTTTTACAGCCCCAAAATGGAGCTTCGGAGCTCCAGCTCAGCATCTTTGTTTCGTAAAACAGCATTTTGGTACAAAATCAAGATTTCTATCCCCAAAACGTGGAGTTCTGAGCAGAAAAAGGGCTGGGTTTATTTTCCCGAAGTAGAATTTGGGGTTAAAATCGGGATTTTCTGCAGCTTGGAGGGAGTTCCCAGCCCCAAAATGGAGGTTTCCAGCCCCAAAATGGAGGGTCGGGGGAAGAATCGCAGCTTTGTGCTCTCAAATTCGCTTTTTTTCTTATTTCAAAATCATCGCTTTTTCTCCAAAATTAACGTTATATTTTTTGTTTCTTAATTTATTTTTTTTTAGTACGAATTGGTGGTTTTTACCCAAAAAAGCGTTTTTTTAGGCCTCGGAATTTGCAGTTCTTCACAATGGAATATCACCTGTGCTGCTGTAAAAATCGGCTTTTTTTCCCCTGAATGTTAACTTACCCACAAAACGGCCTCCTTTAACCCCGTATTTCTTTTTTTTGTCTTTTTCAAATGTAACTTTTCGTCGCAAAATCGCCCTTTTTAGCCCCAACCCCCCCTCTCTTTGTGTCTCCAGACCGCATTTCCTGCCCCCGAAATGTGCATTTCCATTTCCTGCCCCACATCGAAATCTTTGTTCTCCAGAACGCCTCAAGTTGGAGTTTTTAACCTTAAAAAGCTTTTTTTGTTTTTTTGGGGTTTTTTTTGCCTTTTTTTTTTTCCAGTTTTGGGAAGGAGGTTTTGAACCGAAATTGTGATTTTGAGGCCCAAAAAAGGATTTTTACCATACAGAAAATATTGGTATTTAACAGGTCAAATTTACTCTCAAAAATGGTGTTTTAGCCCAAAATTCTTAAGTTTTACCCTTAAATATTCTTGTTCCCTTATAATCCATATTCCTGTCACTACTCCATTTCTACACCAAACTCACATTTTTTCGTGAAAAATGGTGTTTTAGCCCAAAATTCTTAAGTTTTACCCTTAAATATTCTTGTTCCCTTATAATCCATATTCCTGTCACTAAACTCTCCATTTCTACACCAATCTCACATTTTTTCGTGGAAAAGTTGTAAATTTTAACCCTGTGTTTCCCAAGGCTTCAAAATGCAGAATTTTTTTTCCCCAAAAAATGCTGATTATTCAAGTTTGATTTTTATAAACTCATTTTTTTTCCTCATTTGCCCAAAATCTCAATTTTTACCTCAAATTAACTTTTTTTGGAGCCATTTATTTTCTACATTCCCTGAAACTGCACTTTTCTAACCCATTTGTCCCATCAGCCCCAAAAATCCCTATTTTTTAACCCATTTTTGCTCACAACCCCCTAAAACACTGGATTTTAACCAATTCCTTTCCTCGGCCCCAAAATGAACATTTTAAGCCCATTTTTCTACTATTTTTTTTACTTGACATGTCCCGCCAGCCCCTCGGCCCATTTTATCCCAAACCCCCCACATCTGTGGAATCTCATCTTCAAATACAAAAGTTGGAGCCCCCTGAGTCGAATTTGCATATAAAAATCCTGATTTTGGGTGATAAAAAAGCCGTTTTGGGGTGCCAAAAGCCGATTTTGGAGCGGTTGGTTTGAATTTTAACGAGTTGCCGCCATTTTCCCGCGTTCCCGCCCTTTTTGGGGAGCGGGACCGCGCTGCCCTGGCCACGCCCCTCCCTCACAAAGCTCCGCCCACTTCCCTTCCCCACACCTCCAAACCACAAAAAAAGTCCTAAAAATCACCTTTTTTACCCCAAAAAGGGTAATGGAGTGGCTGTGGGTTCTGGTTTTTAATCCCATTTTCCCCCTCACTTCCAAAATTGACATTTTTAACCCTTTTTTTTTCCTCAGACCCAAAATTCTGGGTTTTTAAATACATTTTTCCCTCATAAGCACCAAACCACCATTTTTATTTCAAGTCGCCATTTTTTATCTTCTTTTGAATTAACAATCTCAAAATTAATGGTTTTTTTTAACCCAAATTAATATTTTAATCACGTTTTTTTTTCCCACCGTCCCCAAATCCCCATTTTTTGTACATTTTTCATCTTTAACCCCAAAATTGCCTTTTTTCACCTCATTTTCCAAGGGTAATGGAGTGGCTGTGGGTTGCAGCCACATCCTTTTAGGACCTTATCACACTCTAAATTTATTTTTCAAGTCGCCAAAATCCCCATTTTTCAACCCAAAACAGGCCCTGTCTGTGGGGGAGGTCTTGTGGACTCGGCCTGTCATTTGGCCATGCCCCCAAATTTCTTCAAATCCCCAAATTCTTCCGTTTTTCCCCAAAAATGCTGCCTAGGGGAGGTGGGTGTGATCGGATTTACATCTCATTATTCTTATAAGGTACCAGAAGCCCCTTTCTTGTCCCCAAAATAAATAACAGGTGTCGCAAAGTGGGGGTGGCCTGCCTCCCCAGTCCCTCCACAATGCCTCCAATTTCCTTTTAAATCCCAAATTTTTTTTTCCTTTTAACTCTGGGTTTTTTTGTGATTCTTAAGTGCCATGTCCTGCCTTAAAATCCCAGTTTCTTACCCTAAAATACATGAATTAGATCTTCATTTTCTCCCACAAAATGGGGTCCCAGGTGTATCAAAGTGGGTGTGGCCCATCTGCCCCCACCTATCCTTTAGCTTCATCTCCTTTAACCCCAGTCACAGCCCCAACCTCTATTCACTACCCAAAAATCTCAGGTTTTAACCCCCAAATCCCCTTCCCCCCACCCCCCAACCCTTTTTTTTCCCCCAAAATTGAGTCTTCCTTGGGCATGGCCCAGCTGACCCCACCCCTTTTAACCCCACACTCCCAAACCACCATTTCCTGCTCAGATATTCCCATTTCTCCCCCTAAAATCCCAATTTTTTCTCCAAATCCTCATTTTTCCCCCAGCTGAGGTCTCATTTGTCACAAAGTGGGTGTGGCCAAGCTGATCCCACTCCTCCACAAGCCCTGCCCCTTTTACCCCTGATCACACCCCCAACCCCCCTTTTCCCCCCTAAAATCCCCATTTTTCTTCCTAAAACCTTGGGGTTTTTTCCCCAAATCCTCAGGTTTTGCCCCAAACCCACTCGTGGGCTATCCCTGAGCTGTCCCCTTGTCCCCACAGTTCTGGGAGGTGATCAGTGACGAGCACGGCATCGACCCCACAGGCACTTACCACGGGGACAGCGACCTGCAGCTGGACCGCATCAGCGTCTACTACAATGAGGCCACAGGTGGGGACAGCTGGTGGCACTTGGGGACAGCTGCCACACCCCCCAGGACTCCTCTGCCCTTCCCCCTCTCATTGTGTCACTCGTTAGTGCTGGGTGGCACTTGGTGGCATTTGTCATCTCCCCAGTGTCACATGTCCCGCTGTCATCCCCCCTAGTGTCACCTTCCTTTGTCACTTTCCTCTGCTGTCACTTTGTTGCTTCCAGTGCCACCTCCTCACCCCCACCTTGTCATTCCTTAATTTGTCACCCTCCTCATACTCCCCACTGTCACCCTGTCCCCAGTGTCACCCCCCCAATGTCACTTTCCTTTATGTTATCACTTTGTCATCCCTGTGTCACTGTGTCCCCATGGTTCCCCCTCAGTGTCACCTTTGTCCTGCTGTCACCTCCCAGTGTCACTTTGTCCTTGTCCATGCCCTGTGCCACCTCATCTCCTGGGTCCCTGAGTGCCACTCCTTTCTTTGTCACACCAATGGGATCACCTTGTTCTGTCACCTCCCAGTGTCACCCCCAGTCTTGTCACACCTCAATGTCACTTGTCCACTGTCACCTCACAGTGTTACCTTGTCCCCTGTCACCTTCAATCCTGGGGATCCCCTGATGTCACCTGTCCATTGCCATTTCCTGTATCATGCTGTGACTCCCCTGGTGTCGCTGCATCCTGTCCCTTCCCAGTGTCACCCTGTTCTCTGTGACCAACATTTTGTCTCCAGTGTACCTCCAGTGTCACCTGTCCATTGTCACCCCTCCGTGTCCTCTGTGACCCCTCACCCTGTCCCCAATGTCCCCGCCTACCCCATGTCACCTCTCCATTGTCACCTTGTCCCTGATATCCCTGCAGTGTTGACTGTCCTTTGTCAGCCCTCTGTGTCACCTGTCCCCTGTGTCCCCTCCGCAGTGTTTCCTGTCCACTGTCATTTGTCTCCTCCCTGTCCCTGTGTCCCATTCTAGATTGCTCTGGGGAAGTTTTTGGGGTGGCTTTAGGGAATTTGGGGTGAATTTGAGACTTTAGGGGTTATTTTGGGGTTGGTTTGAGATGATTTTGGGATAATTTTGAGAGGCTTTGGAATGATTTTGGGGGTTAATTTGGGAGGTTTTAGGGTGATTTTGGGTGGTTTAGGTTATTTGGACTGGTTTTGGGGGGGTGAGTTTGGGGGTTTGGAAGTGCTTTAGGGTTGAGTTTTGGGGAGGTCTGGATTGGATTTTGGTCATTTTGGGGCGTTCTGGGGCAATTTTGGGTGCTTCAGAGTGATTTTTAGTATTTTAGGGTTGGTCAGAAGTGGGATTGAGGTGATTTTAGATGGTTTGGGAATTATTTTAAACATTTTTGGAGTAATTTGGGAGGTTTTGCAATTCATTTTGGGTAGATCTGCAACCATTTTTGGGGTGAATTTGGGTGATTTGGGGTAATTTTGGGATGGTTTGGGGGTGATTGTGGATGTTTTGAGGGTGAATTCAGGTGGATTTGGGGTGGTTTTGAGGTGATTCCAGATATTTATGTGGTAATTCTGGGTGGTTTGGGGATGATTTTGGCTCCTTTTGGGGTTGATTTTTGTTGTTACTCCAGATGTTTTGAGACATTTCTTGTTGCTATCAGGGTGATTTTGGGTGTTTTGGTGTCAGAGTGGCTTGGGATATTTTGGGAGCAATTTTTGGTATTTCTGGGTTAACTGAGCATTTTGGGGGTAATTAGGGATGGGTTTGGGGTAATTCCAGGTGGGTTTGAGGTGAATTTGATGGTTTTGAGATAATTCTGGGTGTTTTGGGGTAATTCTAGGTTGGTTTGGGTTGCCTTTGGGGTATTTCCTGGTGGCTTTGGGGTAACTTTGGGAGGTTTTGGGGTGCTTTTTAAGGATTGTTTTGGGCTGTTTCCAGGTGTTTTCTTGTAATTCCAGCTGTTTATTGGGTGGTAACTTTGGGAGGTTTTGGGGTGCTTTTTAAGTAGTACTGGATTGTTTTGGGCTATTTCCAGGTGTTTTCTTGTAATTCAGGTGTTTATTTGGTAATTTGGGTGTATTTAGGTTGATTCTGGGTGGTTTGGGGTTAATTCTGGGTGATTTTGGGTTCAATTCCCTGGGTTTTGGTGACGTTTTTGTTGTCCCCAGGGGGCAAATATGTGCCCAGGGCCATCCTGGTGGATCTGGAACCTGGCACGATGGACTCTGTGCGCTCCGGCCCCTTCGGGCAGATCTTCAGGCCTGACAACTTTGTGTTTGGTGAGTGACACACCTGGGACACCTGGGATATACCTGGGGACATTGGGGGCACATCTGGGACACCTTGGGCATGGCTGGGGAAATTGGGACATACTTGGGGATACCTGGGACACCTGGGGACATCTTGGGCATGCTTGGGGACATCTGGGACACCTGGGGGCACATCTGGGGATATCTTGGGCCTGCCTGGGGACATCTGGGACACACCTGAGAACATTTGGAGATTCCTGGCGACATTGGGACACACCTGGGGAGATCCTGAGGGACACCTGGGGATGCTCAAGATATCTGGGGACTCTTGGCACATAGCAAGGACAGCTGTGAACAGCTGGGACACACCTGGGGACATTTTGGGACATGACTGGGGACACCTGATGGTTCCTGAGGGCATCCTGGGGACACCTGGGGGTTGCTGAGGGACATTAGGGATACCTCTGGGTATTTGGGGAACACCTGGGTACACTTGGGGACTCTTGAGGGACATCAGGTTCGCTTCAAGGCACACTTGGGGACACGCAGCAATATTTGGGGCAGCTGGGGACATGTGGGAACACACCTGGGACAGCGGGGGGTGGCCTCAAGGGATGGTATGGCCCCAAAGGGGAGATGAAGTTCCCCAGGTGTCCCAAGGGTGGGAGTGAAGGTCCCAAGGGTGGCATGAAGGTCCCCAAGTATCCCACCAAGGTGGATTCACAGGTCCTCAGGTGTCGCCAGGGGTAATACAAAGGTCTCCAAAGTGAGGTAAAGGTCCCCAAGTGTCCCCCCAAGGTGGGTTTGAAGATCCTTAAGGGTTCTCAAGGGTAGAGTTACGGTCCCAAAGAGGGGGTTCAGGATCCCAGCTTGTCCCCAAGGTGGAGTTTTAGGTCCCTGAGGATTCCCAAGCTGGGGTTGAACCTCCCCGAAGGGTGGGATGGAAGGTCCCCAGGTGCCCCCAGTGTGGGTTTGGAGGTCCCTGAGGTCCCCACAGGTGGGGTCAAGGTCCCTTAAGGGTGATGTGAAGGTCCCCGAAGAGGGGACAGAAGTGCTTGAGGTCCCCAAGAGTGGGAGGAAGGTCCCAAAGGTGGTGAAGAGTTGCCCAAGGTCCTCAAAAATGGTTTGAGGGTCCCCAAAGTCTTTAGCATTAACCTGAAGATCTTCAAAGGTGATTGAAGGTTCTTCAAGGTTCCCAAAGGTGTTTTGAGGGTCCCTAAAGTCACCTCAAAGACCCCAACCCAACTCTTCCTCATCTGCACCTGGCCAAGGGTCACCACAGGGGGGGGCTGAGCTGGGGGGGGGGGGGGGGGGGTGTCCAAGCCCCGGGGGCCGCGGGGGGGGGGGGGGGGGGGGGGGGGGGGGGGGGTCAAGGGTCCTCAGAGGTGTCTCAAAGGTCCCCAAAGATGGTTTGAAGGTCCCTAAAGTGGCTTGAACATTTTCAAGGTGGAAATGGAGGTGCTCATCATCAAAGATGATTCAAGGGTCTTCAAGGTCATTAAGGTTGGGTTGAGGGTCCCCAAAGATGGTTTGAAGCATCCTAAGGTCCCCAAAGGTACTCCAAGGGTTTCCAGGTTTGAGGGTCCCAAAGATTATCAAGGCTGGTTCAGAGTTCCTCAAAGGAGATTTTGAGGCTCCCCAAGCTAGTTTTGAGGTTCTTGAAGTCCCTAAAGACGGTTTAAAGGTCTCCAGAGTTGGTGTAAATGTTCTCGAAAGTGGTTTGAAGGTTCCCAAAGGTGCTTTGAAGGTTTACAGAGGTGGTTTGAAGACCCAACCCAACCTTTCCATCCCTTTTCCAGGCCAAAGCGGTGCCGGCAACAACTGGGCCAAGGGTCACTACACGGAGGGCGCCGAGCTGGTGGACTCGGTGCTGGACGTGGTGCGCAAGGAGGCCGAGAGCTGCGACTGCCTGCAGGGCTTCCAGCTGACCCATTCCCTGGGCGGCGGCACCGGCTCGGGCATGGGCACGCTGCTGATCTCCAAGATCCGCGAGGAGTACCCCGACCGCATCATGAACACCTTCAGCGTGGTGCCGTCCCCCAAGGTGTCGGACACGGTGGTGGAGCCCTACAACGCCACGCTGTCCGTGCACCAGCTGGTGGAGAACACGGACGAGACCTACTGCATCGACAACGAGGCGCTCTACGACATCTGCTTCCGCACCCTCAAGCTGACCACGCCCACCTACGGCGACCTCAACCACCTGGTGTCGGCCACCATGAGCGGCGTCACCACCTGCCTGCGCTTCCCCGGCCAGCTCAACGCCGACCTGCGCAAGCTGGCCGTCAACATGGTGCCCTTCCCGCGGCTGCACTTCTTCATGCCCGGCTTCGCGCCGCTGACCTCGCGGGGCAGCCAGCAGTACCGCGCCCTCACCGTGCCCGAGCTCACCCAGCAGGTCTTCGACGCCAAGAACATGATGGCCGCCTGCGACCCGCGGCACGGTCGCTACCTGACGGTGGCCGCCGTCTTCCGCGGGCGCATGTCCATGAAGGAGGTGGACGAGCAGATGCTGAACGTGCAGAACAAGAACAGCTCCTACTTTGTGGAGTGGATCCCCAACAACGTGAAGACGGCCGTGTGCGACATCCCGCCGCGCGGCCTCAAGATGGCCGTCACCTTCATCGGCAACAGCACGGCCATCCAGGAGCTCTTCAAGAGGATCTCGGAGCAGTTCACGGCCATGTTCCGGCGCAAGGCCTTCCTGCACTGGTACACGGGCGAGGGCATGGACGAGATGGAGTTCACCGAGGCTGAGAGCAACATGAATGACCTCGTGTCCGAGTACCAGCAGTACCAGGACGCCACGGCCGAGGAGGAGGAGGATTTCGGCGAGGAGGCTGAAGAGGAGGCCTGAGGGGTTTCTCCAGAGGTCCTGATCCTCGGCAGTGTTGCTCCTCCCCTTCCCGGTGTGTTGTCCCAGAGAGGCGTCAACCGGTGGGCGGCGCCTTCGGTGTCATCATCATTGTCCTGCATCATCATCAGTGTTGGCCTTGGTCATCGGCGGCGGCAGCGGAGTCCCCACCCGACCTTCAGCGTTGTCCTGACGGTCTTCAACCTTCATCATCGTCATCCTGGAAGAGTCCCCAGCCTTCAGCATTGTCCTCACGGTCCCCAGGCTTCACCATCAATGAAGAGTCCCTAATCTTCATCATTGTCATCCTTGAAGAGTCTCCAATCTTGATCATGGTCAGAGCTCCTAACTTCTGTTCTCATCTTTAAAGAGTTCCCAATTTTCATCAGCACTGAAGAGTTCCCAACCTTCATCATCATCTTTGAAGAGTCCCCAGCCTTCAGCATTGTCCTCACAGTCCCCAGCCTTCCCCTGAATCATGGTCATTCTTGAAGAGTCTCCAGTCTTCGTCATCATTGAAGAGTTTCCAATCCTGGTCATGGTCAGAGCTTCCAACTTCCATCATTGTTGAAGGATCCCCAAAGGTTCATCATTGTCAAGAAGTCCCCAGCCTTCATCATCCTTGAAGAGTCCCCAACCTACATCCTCGAAGAGTCCCCAGAGTTCATCGTGGTCCTTGCAGAGTCTTCGATCTTCATCATCCTCAGCCCTTGGTCTTCATTGGGGCTGGTCAGTTGGCCTTGACCTTCATCATAATCATCTTCATCATGGAAGAGCCTCCCAACAAGAGTTTTTGACCTTCACTGTCATCATGGAAGAATTGTGGACCTTCATTATCATCGTGGAAGATTCCTTGACCTTCATCAGGGTTGGTCACTTGGCCTTGACCACCATCATCCTCATCATGGAAGAGCCTCCAAGAGCTCTTGACCTTCAGCCTCATCCTGGAAGAGTTGCTGACCTTCATCATCATCATCACCTCTGCCCCTCCCCCGCTGCCACCACGGCCTCCTGTCCCCTCCCCAGCTCCACTCTGGCACCGTTTCCTCCCTTTTTTTTGTCATTTTTCCCAATTCTTTCTTTTTTTCCCTCCTACTTTTTGTCATTTTTCATATTTTTTGTCATTTTCCCCCCTTTTTGATAAATTTTTCCTCCTTTTTTCCCTCATTTCAGTCTCTCATCATTTTTCATCATTTTCCCTCATTTTTGGTCAGTTTCTCCATTTTTGGTCTTTCCATTTTTCCAATTTTTGCTCTTTTTTCCCCTGTTTTTGCTCACTCTCAGCCCAGTTCCATTCCTTTTTCCCAACTTCTGGGTCCTTTCTCCCAGTTTTTGGTTGATTTTTCCCTATTTTTGATCATTTTTTACCCATTTTTCTCCATTTTGGGTTCGTATTCCTCAATTTCTGTTCATTTTCCCCCATTTTTTGTCCATTTCTCCCCATTTTTTAATTTGTTTTTCCTCATTTTTGTCAGTTTTTCCCATTTCCCCTGCGTTTCTCCCCAGTTCCGTCGCCGTTCCCGGTGTCCAGTCGCTCTCCCGTTTTTTGGATGTTTTTGTTTTTTTTCCCATTTCTTTCGTTTTTCATATTGAAAAGTCGCCCCCGGGTCCGGAATAAACTCGGGATGGAAAAGCCACAGATGTGTCACCTGTGTCACCTCCTGGGGGGGTCTGGGGTCACCCGAGTGTCCCCAGTGTCACCTGGGCATCACTTTGGGGTCACCTGAGGGGTCCCAGTGTCACTTTGGGGTCACCTGAGGAGTTCCAGCCAGTGTCACTTTGGGGTCACCTTCATGTCCCTCCTGGAGGTCCCTGTGTCCCTTCAGGGTGACCCGAGTGTCACCTGGAAGGTCTCATTGTCGCCTTGGGGGTCCCCTAGGGTCACTGGGAGGGGTCTCTGTGTCACCTCAAGGTCACCTGGGAGGTCCTGGGGTCACTTTGGGGTCACCTGGAGGGTCACTTTGGGGTCACCTGAGGAGTTCCAGCCAGTGTCACTTTGGGGTCACCTGGAGGATCCCAGTGTCGCTTCAGGGTCACCTGAGGGTCCCCATGTCCATCTTGGCAGTCCCTGTGTCACCTCAAAGGTCTCACTGTCCCCTGGGGTGTCCCCAGCTGAGGGTCCTCATTGTCACCTGTCACCTGGAGGGCCTCAGGGTAACTTTTGAGGTCACTTGGGGAGGTCCTGGGGTCACTTCAGGGTCCCCACTGCCACTTTGGAGGTCCCCATGTCCCCACCTGAAGGTTCCCAATGTCACCTGTGTCCCTCTTCAGGGTCCCCATTGTCACCTGGGCGTCCCCAGTGTCCCCTGTCCCCTCCTCTCCCCCCCGTGTCTGCAGGTGTCCGTTTGTCAGTGGCTCCGGTGGTGGCAGCGTGGGAATGTCACTGGTTGGGGACATTCAGGTGGCGCCAGGGGTGGTGGCACTTTGGGAACACCTTGGGGACAAGGTGGCAACTTACAGGGAATGGGGACACAGGAGGTGGCAGCACTTCGGGGACATGGGGACACGACGACATTCAAGGGTGACACTTTGGGGATATGCAAGGAGTGGTGGCACTTTGGGGACACATTTGGGACGTGATCAAAGGGTGGTACTTGGGTGACACTTTGGGGACACGGTGGCACTTAGGGGACACTGCAGGGGTGGTGGCACTTAAAGGACACAGGGACACTGCTGTGGTGGCACCTTGGGGGCACTTTATTGACATGGTGACACTGGGGGTGGTGGCACCATAGGGACATTTTACTGACAGCACTGTAGTGGCACTTTGGGGACAAGGTGACACCTTGGGGACACTTGGGACAGGGTGACACTGCAGTGGTGGCACTCTGGGGACACTGAGGACATGGGGGTGGTGGTGGCGCCTTGGGGACACTTTGAGAACGTGGTGACATTCAGGGGTGGCACTTGTGGGACACTGCAGTGGGTGGTGGCACCTTGGGAACATCTCAGGGACATGATGACATTTGGGTGTGGCACTTTAGGGACAAAGTGACACCGGAGGGTGGTGGCACTTCTGGGACACTTAGGAGACAAGGTGGCACCTTGGGGACAGTGACACCACAGGGACACTTAGGGGACATGATGACATTTGGGGGACACTTTGGGGACATGCAAGGCATGGTGGCACTCTGGGGACAAAGGGACTTGGGGGCCGGTGGCACCTTGGTGGCCTCAGGAGCCACCGGTGGCACTTTGGGGACGTGGTGGCATCGGGGTGGTGGCACTTGGGTGGCACTTTGGGGACACAGCGGGGTCCCGGTGGCTCAGGGGGGTGGTGGCACTTGGGGACACTTTGGTGTCACTGGCGGGTGGCACTCGGGGACACTTTTGGGGTATTTGGAGTTTCGGTGGCTCCGGTGCCGCCCTCGGGCTCCGTCGGGGTCACCTGAGGGGACAAGGGGGGGACAGGAGGGACCTGGGGGTGTCACCTCCCCCCAGGGGGCCCCAAAATCCCCCAAATTCACCCTAAAACTCACCTGGGACACCCCAAACCCATCCAGAACCCCCCAAATTCACCCCAAAATCCAAATGGGACCCCCAAACCTCACCTGGGACCCCAAAATCCTCTCAGGATTCCCCAGACTCACCTGGGACCTCCAAAATCCATCAGGACCCCCCCAAAAATCCCCCTGGGCTCCCCCAGATTCCCCAAATTCACCCTAAAATCCACCTGGGAACCCCAAAGTTCACCCCAAATCTCACCTGGGAACCCCCAAATCACCTCAGGGACCCCCCCAGACCCCATCTGGGAATCCCTAAACCCATCCAGGATTCTCCAAAATCCCCCAATATCAACCTAAAATCCATCTGGGACCCCCAAAATCCACTCAAGGGCCTCAGTTTCTCCCTGGGACCCCCTAAATCACCCCAAATTCCATCTGGGACCCCCCCAAAATTCTTCCAGGATTCCCCAGACTCACCTGGGACTCCCCAAACCCATCCAGGACCCCTCAAAATTCCCCAAACTCACCCTAAAATCCATCTGGGACCCTCCCCCAAATTCCCCCTGGACCCCCCAAAATCCCCCAAGTTCACCCCCAAATCCCCTAAATTCCCCTCAAACCTCACCTGGGACCCCAAATTCCCCCTAAAATCCACCCGGAACCCCAAAATCCTCCTGGGATTCCCCTGACTCATCTGGGACCCCCAAACCTCATCCAGTTCCACCCAAAATCCCCCAAGTTCACCCCCAAATCCCCTAAATTCCCCTCAAACCTCACCTGGGACCCCAAATTCCCCCTAAAATCCACCCGGGACCCCAAAATCCTCCTGGGATTCCCCTGACTCATCTGGGACCCCCACACCTCATCCAGTTCCACCCAAAATCCCCCAAATTCACCCCAAAATTCACCTGGGGTGCTCCAAACTTCACCTGGAACCCACAAATTCACCCCCAAACCCCGTGAATCCTCCGACCTCACCTGAGAGCCCCAAAACCCCCCTGGGACTCCAAAACCCCCCAAATTCCCCTAAACCTCACCTGGGAGCCCAAAATCCCTCCTGGGACATCCCAAAATCCCCAACATTTCCACCTGGGACCCCCCAAATCCCCCTTGGCACCCTAAAACTCCCCAAATCCCCCTAAAGCTCACCTGGGAGCACAAAATCCTTCTTGGAACCCTTCAAAATCCCCAAAATCCCTCCTGGGACCCCCCCCAAATATCCACCTGGGAGCCCCAAATCCCCCCTGGCACCCCAAAATCCCCCAAATTCCCCCCAGCTCACCTGGGAGCCCTTGGCCAGCGCCCCCACGGCCCCCGGCAGCCGCGTGACCAAATCCAGGATTTCCGAGGGGATTTTGGCCACCCCGACGGCCCCGGAGCCGCCCACGAGCGTCACCCGGCGCGTCCCCAGCAGCGGCTGCGCCACCGCCTCGGCCACCTGCCCCAAAACGGGGTCCCAAAATCAGCCCCAGGTCAGGGACCCCCAAATCAGGGATCCCCAAATCAGCCCCAGTTCAGGGATCTCCAAATCAGGGATCTCCAAATCAGGGATCCCCAAATCAGCCCCTAATTTGGGATCCCAAAATCAGCCCTGAAATTGGTCCCAAATCAGGGATTGCCAAATCAGGGATCGCCAAATCAGCCCCAAACAGGGATCCCAAAATCAGCCCCAGGTCAGGGACCCCCAAATCAGGGATCCCCAAATCAGCCCCAGGTCAGAGATCTCCAAATCAGGGATCCCCAAATCAGCCCCAAATTGGGGATCCCAAATCAGCCCTGAAATTGGTCCCAAATCAGGGATCCCCAAATCAGCCCCAAACTGGGGAACCCCAAATCAGCCCCAGGTCAGGGATCCCCAAATCAGCCCCAAAATCAGTCCCAAATCAAGGATCCCCAAATCAGCCCCAAATTGGGGATCCCAAAATCAGCCCCAGGTCAGGGATCCCCAAATCAGCCGTGAAATTGGCCGCAAATCAGGGATCCCCAAACCAGGGATCCCAAAATCAGCCCCAAATCGGGGATCCCCAAATCAGCCCCAAAATTGACCCAAAACCAGGGATCCCAAAATCAGCCCCGAAATCGGTCCCAAATCAGGGATCCCCAAATCAACCCCAAAATCAGCCCCAAACTGGGGAAGCCCAAATGAACCCCAGGTCAGGGATCCCCAGATCAGCCCCAAAATTGGCCCCAAATCAGGGATCCTGAAATGAGGGCTCCCAACATCAGGGATCCCCAAAATCAGCAACAATCCTGGGATCCCCAAATTCCTGTCCCAAATTCGGGTATCCCCAAAATCAACCCCAAAATTGGGGATCCCCAGGTGTCCCCAAAACATGCCCAAAGTGTCCCCAGGTGTCTGCAAAATGTCCCCAAGTGTCCCCAAAGTGTCTCCAACTGTCCCCAAAACATCCTGAAAATGAAGTGTCCCCAGGTGTCCCCAAAACATCCCCAAAGTGTCCCCAGGTGTCCCCAAAACATCTCTAAAGTGTCCCTAGTGTCCTTAAGTATCCCCAAAGTGTCCCCAGCTGTCCCAAATGTCACCAGTTGTCCCCAAAATATCCCCAAGTGTCCCCGGGTGTCTCTAAAGCATCCCCGAAGTGTCCAAAGCGACCCCAGAACATCCCCAAAATGTTCCCAAGTACCCCCAAAACATCTTCAAAGTGTCCCCAGGTGTCCTCAAAA